TGGGGGAGGAAAGGTGCACGGGAAGTCGCGTGGCTGAAAGGTGAGCGGCGCGGAGGGGAAACGGGTCGAGATCAGGAGGGAGGGGGGGCGGCGACGAAGAAGAAGAAGAAGAAGAAGAAGGGGGAGATGATGACGACGAGGAGGGGGGAAGAGAAAATTACGATGGCAATGGTGAAGGACAAGAGGAAGAATAAGAAAAAGAAATGCGGAGAAAAACGAAGAAAAAAAAAATTGCTGGTAACTTACATGCGCGTCGGCTTCGGGATCGATGACGTGGCAGCGACGAGGAGTTGTTGACATGGCGACGACGAAAGGTACGAGGCGCTGACGAGGCAGCGATGGCGACAACGAAGATGACGGCGATGACGATGATGTGGCGGCGCTGAAGACGACGATGTCGATGGCGTGGCAGTGTCGGAACAGGGAGGGAGGGAGGGTCGTTTGCCGATCGGCGCCTGCCCCATCGTAGGCGGGATCTTCTCTGACACTTTACGATTCTGGCACTTCAACTGCATGTGACCATACTAGCCACAGCGAATACAAGATGCACGGGAGTAACGATCTCTCCACACGTCCTCAGTAAGCCCCGCTTTCTCCCATGGAGGAGCATTGGGGTCTACTTGACTCTTTGACCGGGAACCTCCATGGCGTCTACCAATCGCCTTACCTTGTTGAACTGAGGCAGCGACTGCTCCACCCCCTGAAGCTTCGGCGCTACCCGACGCTGACCCTACTCCCATCTGGAAGTCGTCGTCCAACTCTATGGCAGCACCATCGTTGTCAACGAACACTATGTGCCCCTTGGCCTTCCAGTTAGGAGGCAGTGCCTATTTCCGACCATCCGTGGTGGGTTGGTACCCATGCCCAATCTTTGCCTCTAGATCTAGGGCCTTCTTGCTGAACGAGGGGAAATTGTGGACCGTGATCATGGCCTCACTTGCCAACTGATTCCTGAGCTTTATGGGGAGACACCTCAGGTAAGTGGTAAGTAAGACCAAGGGGTCGTAATGCACTCCAAGAAAATAGATCGGACGCTCGATCACGTCCGTGGCATCCCTTTCTGACCTGAACTTCCTTGAGCTCAGGGTCAATATATCGTCGGTGGCCTTTTGAGCCTCCTGCGGGTCATGCCACCTTTCCTCCACCACCTTGATGAAATCATTATGGGTGACTGCCCAAGCATGGAAGTCATGACCATACCCCTGTAACTGCAAGTACCCGCTTAACCACCTCGCTGCACTCCCCTCAAGATAGGAGGCAGCCACAAGCACTTCCTCGTGAGGCAAGGTTAACTTGCACTTCACGTAGACTGACACCGTCCTCAACCATGTATCGAGGTCCTCACCCTTCTTATCACCTGAGAAGGGTTTGGGTGATGCGATGGCAGTCTTCGGAACCCACTGTTCTTGTCCCGGGACCTGCGCAACTCCAGGCTGTGGGACCTGGGGTACAGGCCGCTGCACCTGCTGCACTAGATGCGAGACGGCAGGCTGCAACAAAGGTTGGGAGAACACTGTCTGAACAGGAATTTGTACACTAAGACCTGCTCAGAACCCACATGTCAAAGGCATAACAGGATGGGAAGTGGTATGTACCGTAGCTGGAGAAACTGTGAATGGGATTACTCCAATTACCGATGGGACAAAAGGAGGAGGTTCTACCACGGGCCAGTCACCTGGCCCAGATGGTGATGGTGTGACCTGAAGTCGCCCGACCAGCACGGCCAGGCTCCTCTAAATGTCTTGCAGGAGAGACGTATGGTAGTCTTGCATCTCCACTACATCTAACATCTCCACTACATCTAGAAGGGCTGTCTTAACGGTCCTTACATCGTCATCCATGTTTGTCAGGTCCATCTCCTGTAACTCCCTGATGTCCGCTTGTCTCCGCTGCATCCTAGATCTACATCTGTTTCTTTGCCTATATCTCATCCAATGCCTATTGTAGTTGTGCCTCGCGAGCGCTTGCTCGCTGGATGGCGACCTCCTCGGGAGTTAACACTGTTTGCTGGCTTGCCATTACACCAGCGGACTGACTCTCGGTTTGTGCGACAGTCCCTGAACTACTGGCCTGGGAACACTGCTGCGCAGAAGTGGCCATGGTGGCTGCGGAGGTAGCTGCCTCCCTCGTGAAAGCTCTGCTTGCCTCTGCGTCTCCCTAGCCTGGCGGAACAGAAGACGGTCTCCCTCGGCTTCTAACGCTACGTGGACCAACGGGAATCTAGGGCTTGACGAACCCAAGATCCGATCGTCCGGCTCAGGGTTCTACAAATCACTCATATGCTACAGCAATGTACATTGTTTGCACTAGTGACCATGGTGGATGCGGAGGTAGCTGCCTCCCTCGTAAAAGCTCTGCTTGCCTCTGCGTCTCCCTAGCCTGGCGGAACAGAAGACGGTCTCCCTCGGCTTCTAACGCTACGTAGACCAACGGGAATCTAGGGCTTGACGAAGCCAAGATCCGATCGTCCAGCTCAAGGTTCTACCAATCACTCATACGCTACAGCAATGTACATTGTTTGCACTAGGACACTCGGTTGCCTACCGCTGTGTAGTGCTCAGACCGATTTCAAATAATAAAAATAAATAGTCGGCGGCATTGTCAGATGGTACACAGTTCGGTTCAACAGGTAAGTCCAAAGTCCTACAAACGAAACTATTTTACTTGACTAGTCCGCAAACAGAGCAAATAAGAAGCAGATAGTTCTACCTATGTTGTCTGTCAGATGTGTTAATGGCAGTAACATCTAACTAATCAAAATTAAAACAGAATCATTTGTATGGCTGTTTGCAGAGTGGAATTGTTCCCGAACTTATCACCTGAAATCTACCCCTCCCTCAGTTCTTCTTGATATCACTTGACGTCGGCGTTCCTGAGCAATCCGGATGGCGCTGGTGTCTAAAGGTGTGCATGGCCCACCCCTGTGCCCCAAGTCAATGCTGAGCTGGCCAGCCCTGCACCATGTTTACCCTCGTGTGCAGCGAGCCTCACACTAACCGATTGGCTGATCAAGAGCCAGTTTAAGGACGGCCCCCGAGGTCCTCAGGAATTATTTAACGTCGCAAACAGGACGACGATCACAGCCAAAGGAAGGTAACCCGCCGGTATTTATTCATAGGCGTTCGGTTATCGTCTCCCCGGTACAGATGGCCTGCCCCTCATGACCTATCTATAGCGCACCAGGCAGACAAAGGACAAAGCAGCAAAGCATGCGTGCTCTACTGCCGGTGGGTTGGCATGGTAACCGTGACCCAGTGCTTCGTCCAGGGCCCTTCAGATGACAACGCCCTCTCCTTCCAGCTGCTCCACGTGAACAATGCCGACTCTCAAGGTTGAGCACACTCGACTCCTCACATGAGAGGACTCTCACATCCTCACGGTAAGAAGTGTCGAAGAGGGTAGATAAGGTTAAGAGCAACGTACCTCAAAATAGCTGCCCCCAACCACAGATATTCTCACCAGATGAACTGACGTCGATTGCGATGACCAATCATTGCCTTGGCACAACCAGTATTACACCGTCGTTCCACCTCAGCATCAATCGCACATCAGATAGTTCTCATCGCACTGCGAAACACCCAATATCACCACACAGCCTTCCTGGCGATACCCCTCTCCACCTAGGTCGCTTGATTGCCTTCTCCCTCCTCACTGCACACTACCCACGGTCGCTCACCCAGCTAACAGCGTGGATGCACCGCATAAGCATAAGCTAAGCGCTAGATTAGCGCAAAGTGCCACAGCTCTGATCCCAAAATGCAAGGAAAATGAGCAATAGCGAATTCCAGAAACCAAGCAGCACCATACACATGAAACCAGATAGCCTTGACCTCGAACCAAAAGCAGAATTGCAACTCGAGTTCCACCAAATAAGAGCACAGCAAAAGCTCACAAGTGAGAGAGTTGGAATGGTCTCATCATCATCAACAATGAATCAATGTCGAATCCCTATCTGGCGCTCAGCGCCCAGACTACGAATGGCAGATCCTATCTAGCCTATCTACAATCCGGTGACGTCAACAGCTTCCCGAAGTATGAGCAGATCTCGGTCAATGCCGTTCGCATCAAGCACCAGGTATGTCCCTCGCTTCACTCACAACCTCGATCCTCCACACAGATGCCACATGCACCCAAGGACCACCATGCGCCCCATCCAGCAACGCGCAGGCCAGCCCGGCTATGGCTGCCTGCTTCTTCCCTGCTCGCTCGTGAGCGGGTAGGCACTCGCTTCAGCAGCTGGCGCAGCAGCGCTTGCGCATAAGCAGCGAGTGCCCGAATGTCTAGCCAGCGGCCCGGGCCTTTCCTTTATGGAAAGTGGCTGCCAGCCGTGGTGTTGCATACCGTAACGGTACAGACCAGAACAAGAAACGACCTCTCTCACATAGTACAAGATAGCACAGCGGAAGGCTAATATACCAATGATGCGACCAATCAATGTCGCAATACAGACCAAACATGCATCATCATCATCGCAAGCTGTGAAGGGCCTGGCGCTACACACAGGAAGAAGGTGCCAGGTCCAGACCATACACAGACGAAGAGGAGGGGATCAGACGAAGAAGAGGGGAAGAGGGGAAGATGGGAATGTCGTCAACACCAAGTCTTCGGTACAGGTCCCAAATAATCCCTCGTCCAATGTCTCAATCCCAATGTCGAGTCTGAATCCAAATGTCGTCCAGTCCCAAAGTCCCCAATCTCTCTCTCTCTCTCTCTCTCTCTCTCTCTCTCTCTCTCTCTCTCTCTCTCTNCTCTCTCTCTCTCTCTCTCTCTCTCTCTCTCTCTCTCTCTCTCTCTCTCTCGTAGTCTGCAGATACTACGTAGTCAGGTGGCGAGAGGGTGAGGGAGAGATGGTGGACTTAGAGGAGGAGGAGGAAGAACTCTCTCTCTCCCTCTTGTACCAAGTACCGACCTGTGAAGGTGGCGCCTTGTTGCAGGTACATCGAAGACGAAGCTGGAGCTATGGCGCCACAGGTAAGTCTCCCTGGCCTCCGCCCTTCTCTCTCTCTCCCAACGCTACTCTACCTCCTAGCAGCACCCAGCGCTGAAGACTACTCTAGCGATAGCTACTACTACTGCAGCGCTCCTCCAGAGTGCTGAGGCCAACTCCTGAAGACTGCCTCCTGAACGCACGCGAAGTGCCCGTGAACTGCCTGGGAAGTCCCCGTGAACTACCTGCAGCCTGCAGGGCGGGCCAGTACTATAGAGTGCTGGCCCGTTCAGGAGGCTGCTCTTGCCAATGCCGAAACGTGCCAGACCCTGGCGTTGAAGTTCAAACAAAGGTTGTCTTGAAACAGGCCCAAAAATGGCCTGTGCTAAACCCTGGTCTGGCGCCTGAGTTTCAGGGCAGGTCGACTTTATGAGGGCCTGAAAATGGCCCTTGTTTTCAGGCTTTTAGGCTGAAACGACACAGGGCCCGGAGGGCCCTTATTTTCCGGCTGGTCGGGCCCTGCAGGCCCGTGTGGATGCGCAGTAATGCCACACGTGGGCTGCCTGGCTGGCCTGGGCCTCCCCACGGAAGCTTCCGGTAGGCCCCAAGTGGCTGAGCCCCTGTCCCAGGGAATCTTCCACAGGGCCTGGGGTGGTTACCCGTGTCCAACGGCCAGCGGCCTATGTTCAGTTTCATGCCCCATGTCTGGCCCAGGGCCTGCCTCAGATACATTTGGAAAAAGGCAGGCAGGGCCTGGGCTCACTCAACCAACTGACGCTGCGCAACTGCCTGAACTTCCCCCAGCCACGTCAAACATAAACAGGCCTCACGTCGATTGTCAGGCCCGCCTTCACTTAGGGCGGCCTTTCTCGCTGAAACAGGGCCCAGTAGGGCTTTTCCGAGGCTTGTAGCCTCGCAGGTCCTTGCTTCAGTGGTTGAGAATTAAGGGCACGCCTCGTTGGTGCCGTCAATTCACCAGCCTCCACAAGATTAATCGCCCGTTTACTCGCAATACAAAGGGTCATGTGCTGGGAAAGCACAAACCTAACCGTACAAACAACCAGGTGCGTGCTTTCCTACCATGAGCATAGGACCAGTGCAGCTAGGCTGTTACTCTCTCACAAGTGTAGTACATTGCTCTCGCTCCCAACTTGGTGCTGAATGGTTTGTCTCTCCACTCTTTGACTCGTCTCAATTCATGCTCTCAGTTCATTTTTGAATTGGATTCATTGCAAGGGGCAGTACCCATAAGCCCATAAGCCAAATCATTCACCCTTAGGGCTCCGATTGACCGGTCAAGAGTTCAAGAACCGCTGAATCAAATGAAGTCGTCGAGAACCACTGGATAGGATAGAGTATCAAGGGTTTCATATGTTTGCTACAAAAAGAAGAGGCATGAAAAATGGAGAAGAAACACAGATGTTTGCTGGTACCTGAACACCACCTGGAAGATTGACCGCAGAAAGCATGAGTGATGCATGCTGCCGCGAATACACATCAACTCTCCATCGCTTCTGAGCTATCTGTCAGTAAGGTACACACAGAGGTTCAAGGGCAGGTCAGCCTCAGCATGATGATCACTTCAGAACACTCAATATCCTAACAACAATGGAAAGTTCACCACAATACTGCACATACGAAATCCCCTTGCTTTTTTTTTGTCTCCCCTGTCTCAGAAGATATCTTTCTTCTCTCCTGTCTCAGAAGATATCTTTCTTCTCTGTTGATGGTACCCGGTTGAATACTGCCGAGAAGCATTACTGTAGTTGTGGAGCAAACTGCTAAGGCATGGCATCCGATTGGATCTCAGAGTTTGCTTCCTTGTAGGCTCCCGGTTGCTGCAGCCGCTCCTCGGATAACAGGAAAGTCATTCTGTGGCAAGAGTTCAAAGGACAAAGAGAATCCAGGTGACAGCAAGAGAGAGAGGGAGGAACGAAACGACCAGAACAAGGGGACAGGATGGGAAAGTGGTGCACCAGCGAAAAGGGGAAGGAAAGTGGAAGGCCCGGCTGGGTGGCCAGAGATGCAGAGAGACAGGACGAGAGAGGCAGATAGGGGGGGACAGGGGAGGGGGGGAGGAGAGAGAGAGAGAGAGAGAGAGAGAGAGAGAGAGAGAAAGAGATAGAGAGAGAGAGAGAGAGAGACGGAGAGGTTCAGGAGAAGGGGGAGGCACGGGGATGAGCAGCACAGAGAGAGAGAGAGAGCTAGAAAGAGAGACATGCAGAGAGAGAGAAAGACAACAAAACATAGGGATAGGGATACCGAGACACAGAGAAATTGAGAGAGTACTTAGAAAGACCATACTGCGATGTGGAGCAGACAACTGTGATAGCCAAATGAGCATACCTTCGTCACTCGGCCAACAACCACATCACCAATCTCAGGACTGTACCTGCAGGATTGTCGCCAAACATTTCCAGGATTCATTATAGCAAATTTAAATCCTTCTACTATTACTCAACAAACAATCTTGAGGATGCCCCTCGCTGAAATCGGGCCAGAATGTACTTAACGGTGCATCAGTGCCATCAAAGCAAATGCAGATCGAGCAGCTGAATCCCCCACTGACAAATTGAAGCACATTGTCAAAATAATGATGCAGCCATCATTTCTTCAATTATAAACAATCATGTTCCATGATAACAAACCTATGAGCGGCCTTCATTTCTTCAAATTATAAACAACAAGAAGGACCAGTGCGGCTCCGCCCGCACCAGAAGGGATTAGGCAAAGTGCGTAATATATTGCAACAGACCAGTACAGAATTGTGCACATAGGAATTGTGAGTAAAATTTTGTGAGAGATGAGAAGAAATGGTTCTGGGTGGATAAAGTGTTTTGTTTTGAGAATGAATTGGTATAAATTGATTTTGTTCTCTGACTCGTGTGTGCCACACGATATAAATTGTAAAAGGGGAAAAAAATCAAAGGAAAAAAAGCTGTGAAACCAAACAATCTTCCGCAATGGCCCCCGCC